TGAGTCTTCACAAACACCTCACTGAGAGTCCAGATCAGGTGACCTGCAAGTGTCAGCAAGGCCCAAAAATGAAAGTAGGGCAACAAGAATCCGTCCTGTTTCCTACTGCAAATAAATATGTAGCAATAAAACCAAATTTAAGGCAGCTACAGAAAGGTAATTCAAACATCTGAGCTAAGAAGTAGCACTGGGAATAACTGAAAAGAAATATTCTGATGCAACTTTGCAATGGTTTTAGACACTAAGGAAAAAATGTCTGAAAATACAAATTTGAATGTCAGTAATCAAAGAACATGTGATCATGAAGGAAGAACTGCCAGGACCCACTACACTTCTGTATTCCCAGAATTCCAGATTTTCTCCAGAAGGAATCACTAGCTACACTGTTATTTTGTTACAAGCAAGAAAAGGGAGAAAATATAAACTCTGCCATCATCATTCAAGAAGTGTCTCATCACAGCATGACTGTGAAACCAACCTGAACCTCTCTGACTTTAAGTCACAGGGACACAACTGGTTTTTAGGATAAACACACATGAAATCAAGTCATGCCAGGAACCTAAACAGGGAAAGGAAGAAAGACTGCCCAGAAAACATAGTAGCTGTACATCTGTTTTCATTTTCAAAGTGAGAATAAAGGTCAATATTTGTATTTTGTTTCTAACAGAATATTCACTCAATTTTTCATGCATTTACCACCAGCTGCAAAAAAATAAATATAATATAAATTGTAATAATAATTAATAAGCCAAAGGAATATAGTTTGAGGATTGTGAAAAAGGTTCTAGGGCACAGCATCTTAAAACAGATGTTTTTATCCCTACACTTGATAGCACAGGGCACAGATCACAAAAGGTTCTAGGGCACAGCATCTTAAAACAGATATTTATCCCTACACTTGATAGCACAGATCACAGGACCCACAGCAAAGTGCTGCATTCTTATCTCACTATTGTTTTCTAGAAAAACAGCACAAGTGCCAAACAGAGAGGTGGGAATATTGAAAATATGTTTTACAGGCATGTCCAGGGTGATTCATCAGACCAAACTGAAATTCATTCTCCTTTGTCTTACAAAGTAATTAATTAATAAAATTAATCAGGAGCTTGGAAACCAAGTGGTGCTGCTGCTGCTGCTGCCAACAGGCCCAGAATTCCTCAGGCACGAGACTGAGGAAGGTGTCACCTTCCTGCTCCTGAAGCTGTTCTAACACAGCAGAAACATGAGGGATGTACATCCCTTCCTCAACCAGACTTCGTGCATTTATAGATTGTATTTTGTGTGTGAATGTGCAGACAGGTGCTCATCTGTCTGTACAGGCATAGGTGTGGGTACCCACCTCCCTGGCATGGTTCTGTCACACCTTTCAACAGCTGCTTCATACTTCATCTAAACCTTTCCTTCTTACTGATCCAAACTTGCCCATTCCACTGGGAGTTGATTTTGGTGGTGGTTTGGGTTTTTGGAGATCATCCCTCTTTTAATTAATTTAAAAACCATTGAGGCTGAGGTCACTGGCACCTGTGCAGCACAGGAGCAGAAGGTGCAGGGGGTATAAGCAGCACCTTCACTATTTTGTGATGCCTTTATTTTTGCGTTTGACTTAGAAATAGAGTCAAACGATGGAATAGTTCTATTCTTAAAACAAGGAGGGAGGGGAAAGCAAGCAAATATTATGCTTCTGGGCCATGTCTACCTCTGGTCTTTACAGCAGCCCACAGAATTACCAATATGTGGCAAGAAGCCAATATCTTATGTCCTCCCTTTTTTTTTTTGCAGAGGCCTCAGCGAGATAAATATAAAAACAAACATAGCACATTTTATTGTTACTACCAGAACTCACCAAATAGCACAACAGGGGGAGGGGAAGCAATTTAAGCTGGAGAGAAACAGCCTACAAGTGTACACAGAACCTTGCTGGGAGACATGAGATGATACAAGCCTAGTCAAATTAACCTGTATTCGCTGCCACAGCAAATTCAGTTTCTATGATGCAACAATCTCATTTCTAGTTGAAACAGAGCAATCCAACTCCTACGTCCTAAAAAAAAACCAGAAAACAGCCACACAGCTAAAGTTGAATTGCTCTTTGATGTACCTCTCCCTTCTCCTGAGACCTAGATTTAAAGAGAAAGGGTTTTGCAAGATCACTGAAGTCTTTAAACTTCAAGAGGCGGTCGGGATCAGCGGGGCTGCTCCATCATACTTTTTGCTTGTCATCCTTTTTGGTTTTTGCTTTGTGGTGATTAGTGAGTCTAACAGAAAGCTTTCATCTTGTTAATTGGAGTTATTGCCAGTGGTCCAGGAGGTTAGAAAGGCCTGTGGTGTGGTGGAACTGCCAGCAGCACCGTCTTGCAGTGCCCAGCCCCACGCAGCTCACACCGCTCAGTGCAGCAGCAGGAGGAGCCCTAGAAAGGAGATCCCAGCTGCCTGAGAGAGACTTCAGCAGCCAAAGCTCAGCTCATTAACAGGCAATCAAACTTGTTCACTTAAAAACCGGGTGACAGAGCTGTGCCATGAACACACTCCAGGGCCTCACTAGGGAAAGGACCATTTTTTGCTGCTGAGCATCCCCAGGTTCGACACAAGAACCTGCCCAGCAGCCTCCAGAATCAATCCCTGTACTTTTTGCTCTTCCTTTTCTAAAACTATCTCATGGTTTACACCCCCACACATTCTGAAAACCTCTGAGAAACACATGCCACTCCCATCCTCCCTGGTGCTCAGCAGAACACTAATGATCCTGTGTAGCTGCAGACAGAGGGCTCTGCAGCCTCGTGTGTAGGGCAAGGAACAGGAATATTCCTTCAGGTCAAGTGCACAGTTTAACTAGGAGGAACAGTTTTATTTACTTCTGGAACTGCCAGAAAGCAACTGAAATATGTTCTGCAAGAGGGAAAAACTGGGTATCATCTCCAGCATTACCCCATGGCAGAAAGGGGTTTTTTTATTGTCTTATTTTTTTTTGCTAACAGAAATGCCTGTTGTCTCCCCTGTGGGGCTGGGGAGCAGAGCAGTGAAATGCTGACATCAGGTGGGCCAGAATGGTAGAAACTGCTGCTGTGAAGGGAAAATAGCTTTTCTTTTTGGTAAATAACATGCATTTAACTTCCACAACTAATTAATCTGTTTTAATGAAGAAGGCAAGTCTTACATTTAACCCTCAAAAGTGTCTTCTGGCTGCCTGACTAAGGAAGCAGAAATGAGTGAAATCAAATAAATACCAAAAAAAAACCCTTACAGGCAATAAGAGGACACAGTGCCTTTGGCCCAATATTAGTATTTCAGACTAGCAAGGAAAAGTCCTTTCCTTTCAGAACCTGGGCCTGCCCATTTTGCTGGGTATTACCCTCACCATCCCTTACAGCAATGTTCCTTTTCCAGGTTCTTTTACAAGCTATCAGGAAGAAAAATATTGTAAAAAAAATAGATTTCATAACCCAAGGGTTTGCACTAGTTTTTCTTTTCTTTCCATTCTTGCAGTTGAATGGAAAACTGTCCTCAGGAATCTCACCCCTCATTGATCAGCAATGGCCTAAATAAAAACAAAGGGACCATTTAAATGAAGTTGTGTGTATTGTTCAAAGAACCTTCCCCCTTCCACTGCTCGGTTAAAAAGAAATTAAGAGCAAAAAGACAAAGTGATGAGATGTAGAAACCTCTGCCTCCTCTGAAGGGCTTGTGATTAAACCAGCTGATGATTTCTTGGCTGGCACACCAAGGTACACCTGCAGCAGCCTGCTTAAGTTATTTTGAAGTCTGCCTGGACACTTGATTTGAGTCAAGCTCCACACAGCCCTTCAATTAAGTGTAAGAAAATTTTTCTGGATATTCCAAAATAGCTGAAGAAGCTGGATTTCCTCTTAGCTCACAGTTCTAGAATATAATTCTTTCCATACTTAATTCTTGTGATTTGCAAACTCACTCTTAAAAAACACAATAATCCATCAGCCCCTCTGACCAGACCCACTTCCTTGCCTAGAAGCTCAGGTACTATTAGATCTGATTTGCTCTCTTCCCACACCCCAGGACTGCACCAGTTTTGTGGCCTCCTTCTAACCCACAAGTTTCACCCTGTAGAAAGCACAATCTCACCAGCACTTCTCAAAAGCTCAAAGCATAGAAATACATTTGTTTGGGTGGTGTTGGTTGGGTTTTTCTTCCTTGAAGTCCCATTCTCAGATGGGGTTTGTGTTCCCAGACGGCTCCGGACGGCTGGAAAAACTCGGTGAGGCACAACCTGTCTCTGAACAAGTGCTTTGAGAAGGTGGAGAACAAGTCGGGCAATTCTTCCAGGAAAGGCTGCTTGTGGGCCCTGAACCCAGCCAAAATTGATAAGATGCAGGAGGAGCTTCAGAAATGGAAGAGGAAAGACCCCGTTGCTGTAAGGAAGAGCATGGCCAAGCCAGGTCAGTGACGAGTTGCTGCGTTTGCCCGCGGAACTTCCCTCTGCAATGGGCACTGGGGGGGGAGAGAATTGATAGAGGGTTTAGGAGACCAGTTAGGAATGTTTCCTGGTTATGAAGGGGTTGGCAAAACAAGGAAATGAATAAGGAGAATGAACCAAGCCCTGGCCTTGCAGGGGAGAGTCCAAATGGGCACAAAGAAGTTTCACCAGGCAAACGTTTCCTCCTGACATCTCCCTAAACTTTGGGGTTAAAACAACACTGAAATAAGCGCTACAGACTAGAATTTGAACTCAACCGATGGGCTGTGAAGGTTGAGGCTCTGCTAGGAATAAGCACATCATGGGCTTTCGTTTTGTGTTGCAGAAGAACTTGACACCCTGATAGGCGACAAGAGCGAGAAGCTGCGACCTTCCCTCCTGCCCTGCAGCCCGCCGGGCGTTGCGGGCACATCCCACTGCAGGCAGATGGCAGCCCAGCCCCATTCCCTGGCCGAGCCCTCCCTCTCCCCGAGCATCCCCCCTTCCCTGCACGGCATCCGCGCAGCAGCAGCGCTGCACGGCAAGAGCGCGGTACCCAACCTGCTCGGGGGGCAGCAGCCGCCCTGCTACCCGGCCCCGCACGGCTTCCCGCAACTCTCCAGCACTTTAATGCAACAGTCGCCAGGCCCTCAGAGCCTGTTCCCGTCGGGGGAGGCTCAGAACGAGCTGCGCACCCAGCCCAGCACCGCGCAGGACTCGCCCCTGCCCGCGCAGACCCCCCCGCGCTGCGGGGGGAAGGGGCTGCCCGAGCCCCCCGCAGCCAGGACCGTGCAGGACACGCTCCTGCAGGAAGGAGACCTCAGCAACGATATCGATGCTCTCAATCCGTCCCTGACTGATTTTGATCTCCAAGGTGGGTATCTCAGGCGTTTCAGCAGGGTCCGTTCCGCTCCACCCCGCACAGCCCGCGGCTCCTGCCCCGCCAAGCGCTTGTCCTTGCCCTGCCAGAACCACCGGCTGAATGGCCTGGGATATCCCATCCTGCAGAGCATGGAATTCTGCATTGGGTCCTTAGAAAGTTTCCCAGGAAAACAGTTCCCTTAACACAACAGTTGATATTAAACCCTGCAGCACAGCACCTAAATGGGATGGTTTAGCTCAGACACGTTTTCCACTGAGCACCCATCAAGCTCAGTTATTTGGTGTCTGGCAAGAGAATTGTCACCTGAGGAACAACAATGAGAACTGGTTTCATTAACATCACATTTTTTTTTCACCACTGTTTATTCAAAACCTCCCCTCCACTCAAGAGGGTGCTTTTTACTCCTTCCAAAGCATTCAGATGGCCTCTGCTCTGAGCAGTTATAGTGCTTAGATACTTAGTCATGTCGTGCTGACAGTAAAGTCTTTATATTAAATAATTCAGTCGTCTTGAGCAGGCAGAGATTTGAACACCAAGAACATGGCTTTCCGTGGAAAAATGAGAAAAAGCCACCACCAGGTTAATGTGTGTGTGTGTATTTGTGTGTGTGTGTGTGTGTATTTGTGTGTGTGTGTGTATTTGTGTGTGTGTGTGTGTATTTGTGTGTGTGTGTGTGTGTGTGTGTGTGTGTGTGTGTGTGTGTGTGTGTGTGTGTGTGTGTGTGTGTGTGTGTGTGTGTGTGTGTGTGTGTGTGTGTGTGTGTGTGTGTGTGTGTGTGTGTGTGTCTGTGTGTGTGTGTGTGTGTGTGTGTGTGTGTGTGTGTGTGTGTGTGTGTGTGTGTGTGTGTGTGTGTGTGTGTGTGTGTGTGTGTGTGTGTGTGTGTGTGTGTGTGTGTGTGTGTGTGTGTGTGTGTGTGTGTGTGTGTGTGTGTGTGTGTGTGTGTGTGTGTGTGTGTGTGTGTGTGTGTGTGTGTGTGTGTGTGTGTGTGTGTGTGTGTGTGTGTGTGTGTGTGTGTGTGTGTGTGTGTGTGTGTGTGTGTGTGTGTGTGTGTGTGTGTGTGTGTGTGTGTGTGTGTGTGTGTGTGTGTGTGTGTGTGTGTGTCTGTGTGTGTGTGTGTGTCTGTCTGTGTGACTGTGTGTCTGTGTGTGTGTGTCTGTGTGTGTGTGTGTGTCTGTCTGTGTGACTGTGTGTCTGTGTGTGTGTGTCTGTGTGTGTGTGTGTGTGTGTGTGTGTGTGTGTGTGTGTGTGTGTGTGTGTGTGTCTGTGTGTGTGTGTGTGTCTGTCTGTGTGACTGTGTGTCTGTGTGTGTGTGTGTGTGACTGTGTGTGTGTGTCTGTGTGTCTGTGTGTGTGTGTGTGTGTCTGTGTGTGTGTG